GTGAAAAAGAAAATTTCCATGAAGAACCCAATTTACAAAAATTCTCATCTTTATAAAATTTACATTTAATACAACACTACCATTTTAACTGAATTGCGTACGTGGGAGAGGGTTTTAGCAGGGAGTGGGGAATTGTGAAGTGACTATTTTTTTTGTGACCACTCACCTATAACTTTTGGGGAAAGTGCTTATGATATGACGAATGTAAATTAAGATCATTACTCTTCTGTCATAGATGATTTCCTGGATTTGAGAACAAGGTCTTTAATGGATGAAGAAAGTTCTTGAAGCTCTTTACGAGTAGTATTGGTGACATTTTCTTGTTCTTTGTCTAATTCATCACTCAAGGGATCACCTCCCTGCCCAGTCTTCTTATTTTGACTGACTAACTGCTTTACAACCAAACCTTGATACTTTACCAAAAGAGTATGCTGATCCTGTGAAAAGGGAAAGAAGAAGAAAAGTTAACAACATAATTTAATTTTCTGTGGAACAGATAAAGTAGAATATGTTCAACCAGCACGTATTGAAGGTTCTGATCTTTACAGAACACTGGTCATGTAAGTAGAAAGCTGAATTCAGCAGGGTCCCCCCTGCTCTTGAGGAGTTCACAGTTTAGGGGAGATAAAATATGGATGAAGATCACTTTACTATAAGTTGACTTTGCTGGGTTCTATCATGTATATACGTACACACACACACACACACACACACACACACACACACACACACACACATTCAAAATGACAGGCAAGTTCAAAGAAGCCAAATTACTTTTAGCTGAGGAGCTTTTCAAAAGAAGCTATGTAGGACAAGACTTTTGAGCTGGTCCTTGAAGGATAAGTTAAACCTAGAGAAGTTGAAATGGCAGATTTGACATTCTTATATCTTTTCTGAAAGCTTAATTTCCAAATTCAGAATATTCTTTGCCATGGATCTTACAGGATCCTGAAAGATTCTTGAGCTATGCTGAATTTTTAAAATCAATCCCCTGATTCACTGTTCACATTCTTGGGAGTAGACAAATGATGTTAAA